ATTAAAAAACAAACAAACAAAAAATCATGCTCTGTCTAGTGTTTACAAGAGCAGGAATACAAAGGAACACGTAATACATTTATCCACTAGCCAGGCTTACTGTCAGCAGCTTGCTCACTTATTTTACTCCATTATATGAAACCACTCTCTCCTGTCTGTCCTTGCAATAGAGAATTGTATTGATAAAGGCTGGGAACAGCTCAGGCTGCTCCACACAGGACTAGTTCCCAAAGAATGCAGAAAGAAATCATTCTACGGATTTCTAAAAATAAGCTTTGTCCTCACTTTTTCACATGATTGACCCTTATTTCCTTTAAGCACAGCTAGCTGATCTAGAATGGATCAAGGCCACAAAAAGAAGCTTTTACATATTCTCACTGACTGTGTCTACATTGGCACCCTTTTCCGGAAAAGGGATACTAATGAGACACTTCGGAATTGCAAATGCCGCGGGGGATTTAAATATGGCTGCCGCTTTTTTCCGGCTCGGGGTTTTGCCGGAGAAAAGCGCCAGTCTAGACGGGATCTTGCGGAAAATAAACCCTTTTCTGGAAGATCCCTTATTCCCTTTCAAGTACTTGGGATCTTCCGGAAAAGGGCTTATTTTCTGCAAGATCCCGTCTAGACTGGCGCTTTTCTCCGGCAAAACCCCGAGCCGGAAAAAAGCGGCAGCCATATTTAAATCCCCTGCGGCATTTGCAATTCCGAAGTGTCTCATTAGCATCCCTTTTCTGGAAAAGGGTGCCAATGTAGACACAGCCACTGTGTTTGCAAATTTCTGTTTTAAATGTGAAAAATTGAGTAAAATAGAAAATATCCCTAAATTCAAAAATTCAGTATAATGCCAAGAGAAGGACTATATGTAGCTCTTAGGGTATGTCTAGACTACATCCCTGTTTCGAAAGAGGGATGTAAATTAGACATATCAAAATTGCAAATGAAGCTGTGATTTGAATTTCCCGCACTTCATTTGCATAATCGTATCACAGTGTTCTGTCAAAAAATGCTATTTCCAAAGGGAAACCACGGTCTAGACGCGGTTCTTTGGAAAAGCGCTTTTGAAAGAACTGTGTCTAGACCGCAGTTTCACTTTAGAAATAGCGTTTTTCAACAGAACTCCGTGACGCGATTATGCAAATGAAGCACAGGAAATTCAAAACCTGGCTTCATTTGCAATTTCGATGTCTCATTTACATCCCTCTTTCTAAAGAAGGATGGAGTTTAGATGTACCCTTAGACTCAGAACCCAAGAATCACAACTATAATGTTACATTTTTAAATCTACCATTGATATACTCTGAAACTTCAAGCAAATCACTTCTCTGTGCCATATGTTTCCCTTCACCTTATCTGTACAATCTTGGTGCTTTATTATACAACTAAAAACACTGAGTAGTTCTGTGGCACCTTAGGGTGTGTCTATACAGCCCCCTAAACTCAAAATAAGATAAACTATTTGCACTTATTTTGATTCTATTTCAAAATAGCTTATTTTGAAATTTGGTGCGTCTATACAGCACCAAATTTCGAAATAACACGCTATTTCGAGACATCCCTTAACCCTTGGGGAATGAGGGTTACAGGGATGCCAAAATAGCACGGCCGCTATTTCAAAAAATATTTTGAAATAACAGGCGGCTTGTTGATTTTTAAGTAGAACGCCCCATTATGGTCAAAAGTGAGTTCTGCTTTAAAACTGATGGCTCAGTATGCTATTATCTAACGTGTATATTACAGCCTGGCCCAATCCCCCTTCTGGATGGTCACCTTTATGTTGTAGGTAGTCTTAAATGTTGGGTCCTACTGCTTCTAAGTCCATCTGCTGAGTCTAGTCACTCTTCCTATCTCTAGGGCTCTAAAGCAGACTCCCAGGCTCAGCCCTTCCTTAAAACATGGGATTCAACACTCCTCGTCACTTTTGCAGTCCTTCAGGCACCCATGGAGGGGACAAGGCTGAGTTCCTCCTGCCTGATCTCTTCACCCCCCCCCAACTAAGAGACATTCCCTATTTTTAAGACGGTCTGTGTTCTTTTCTGCCATGTGCACAGGTTAAGAAATTCCAGGCCCTTCCCTCAGTCTGGCTGATGGTGTGGCCAGGAACCTCACGGTGCAGCCAGGAACCTAGCAGGGCCAGAAATGGCTGGGGAGCTCTGGCTCCAGGGAGCCCTGGCCAGGCCTGTGGCAGTGGCACTGGGGCCAGAGCCCAAGTCAGAAGGAACCAGCAACAGGGAGGGGAAGCAAGCTGGAAGGCCAGTTTGCTGGGATTGGCAGGGGACCTCCCTTGGTCTGGCGAATTCGCTTGTGCAGGACCAGTCAGGCCTTTACCATCACTGTGAATTAACATTCCCTGTCTGTTGCAGGCTTTGTTGGCCAAGTCTATAATCTAGGCTATTTAAACCATGGAAGCCACCAAAGACTTTGCAGTACAATATTTTTACCAAAAGTAAACTATGGTAGTGAAATAAGTACAGCCCAACAGGGGAGGCACATAGGGTTGCCAGGTGTCCAGTATTGTACCTGACAGTCGGTATTTGCGCTCTCTGTCCAATAAAAAAAACCAGACAATACCAGACATGTGCAATGTCCGGTATTTTCTGATTTTTCCATCTGCACACTGGACAGAAGCCTGGCATGGGCGGGGGGTCCTGCTGGGAGTCCCAGTTGGGAGGCAGGGCTGCCATTGCCACTGAGAGCCCTCAGTTGGTTGAGTGGGAGGAGGAGGGGAAGCCTCCTCCTCGCTCGTGCGTCGCCAGGAGACTGCGCAGGACAGGCAGCGCCCCGGGATCTGCAAGTGCCCAGGTCAGTCCCACTCTGCACCAGCCGATATGCTCACCCCCCTCTCCCTTCCCAGCTGGTTCTCCCCCACTTCCCCTCCTGATCTTCCCCAGCCAGCCCCTCTGCACCGCCCCCCAGCTCTGCTTCCCGCCGCCCCGGTTCCCCCCCCACGATCAAGTGTGTCTGTTTTTTTGGGGGGGGGGCCTATCTGGCAACCCTAGGCACATAGGGCAGGCTGTTCCAACTAATCAAAGTGAAGGGGAATAGGGATTGTAACAGTATGTGAGACGCCATAGCAAAGTAGCCCCCAGCTACCTTGTTGGGTTCGGCCCTAGTAGACACTTCCACAGCCTCCTTCCAAAAAACTTCATTGTGAATGTGTGTCTGCTGTTTCCTCTTATCAGACTACATACAACCCTAGGCACATAGGGCAGGCTGTTCCAACTAATCAAAGTGAAGGGGAATAGGGATTGTAACAGTATGTGAGACGCCATAGCAAAGTAGCCCCCAGCTACCTTGTTGGGTTCGGCCCTAGTAGACACTTCCACAGCCTCCTTCCAAAAAACTTCATTGTGAATGTGTGTCTGCTGTTTCCTCTTATCAGACTACATACACTCTTCAATCACAGACACACACAGCACATTCCCTCAGGGTGAAGAAAGAGACTAATATATTCTGCACAGCTCTCACTTGCTGTCTAGGTTTGAGCCAGTTCAAAGCAATTGTTCCCTGCAGGAGGAGAGGATCGAGACAGCGCTGCTATCCTGTGTCATGTGCACCAGCCGCACAATGGGGGAAGCAGAGAGCTTTTAAACACACCTCAGGTGCTCGCTGTGATGAGATTTGAGAATCCCACAGTGCAGCCATTCCACCCCAAACAGACCCTTCTCTTTTTCATTTAGAAATCTGGATGCAGATACTACTTAAAAGCCAGAATATATGAGGTGGCCTGTCCAGAATTAAACTTAGCCTTACAGATATGCTTGATTTTAATTCTTCTAAAGAAAAGCGCCTCCTACCCCCACCAGGACAATACACTATGTTTCTACTGAGATCTCTAGAAGAGATGGCAGTGAGCACAATGTTTATGTCAATAGCATAAAATTCAGTCTTTCAACTTTTTTCCTAAGTTAGCACAAAAATACATTTTAAAATACCAGAATTTTCCAAGCTATGGAAATTCTGATTTTTGACCAGCTCTAGATTGGTATAATGGTGTCAATTGGAGGACTGTTAAGATACTCAAATCACTGGGCTTTATCTCTTCTGAAAGTTGCAGTAGGTGCAAAGATGTGCTATAAATAACTCAAAACAACTGAACCCAGATATAAGAGATTTTTAATACAGATATATATTTATGGCATTCCAATTTCATGAAGATAGATTTTGTTCTTACAGAACTGTAAAATAGATACATACAAATGTAGAACAAAATATGGCAATTACAGTATTTAGTATAAAATCTAAACATGTGCATTTCAAAGAGAAAATAGCTAAGTAACTTCATTAGTAGTTTAACTCAGTAGTTGGCTGCACTTATCCATACTTTTTTCAGGAAATGGAAATTATTCTAGACACACAACTTCTATTAAAGTTAACAGGTGACAATATTCCACTGGAACCCTCTGAAAAGCGAGGGGTTACATTTCTACATTTAAAACCCAAACACTTAAGTGCATTGAAATGTGTTGTGTTCCACAGTAGAATTCTTGTTACTCTATTGGCCACACAGGCAATGGCAACTTCGAAAGGCACACATGAATTAGACTATAGTAACTCTGGTCCACAGGTATTTGATTCTTGGTACTGTACAGTAGAAAATACAGCAATGTATACAATATAGAATGCTTTGACTTCTGCCACAGTGCCTTAACATTCAAGTTATGTTGCACACGGTTAAATGTCTTCTGTAGGTTATGATAAAAATGTAATATTTACATTTTATGTTTGTTAAAGTACAAACGCATTGCTTTGCAGAAAGTTTTTCATGGGTAGAAGTGAGTTTTAACACCTTCTACATTTCTAAAAAGCAAATGAAAAGTTACATTAAAGTTTCTATTAAACTCAGTGAAGACACCATTTTCTTCTCAAAAGCGTCAAGGAGTCCTGTGGCACCTTGTAGACTAATAGATGTATTGGAGCATAAGCTTTCGTGGGCAAAGACCCACTTCGTCAGATGCACGTCTCATGCGTCTGATGAAGTGGGCCTTTGCCCACGAAAGCTTATGCTCCAATACATCTGTTAGTCTATAAGGTGCCACAGGACTCCTTGTCACTTTTGCAGATCCAGACTAACACAGCTACCCCTCTGATACATTTTCTTCTCAGTTATCTTTCTGGTATACACTTTTGGTCCTTTTAACATATTCAATTTTCTTTAATTAAAAATATATTACATCACATCTCATGTTGCCATCTGACTGTAGGAATTTGCCTGAGCATGTGGTAGGCAAATAACAAGCTCTTTTAAATAAATAAATATTTAATTTCTAAAAGCAGCAGCAGTTTTTTTTTTTTTTTTTTTACAGAAAAGACTGAATTTGGCATGTTGAGATGTTACTTGACAATATTTTAGAGTTATATGAACCTGCTAGGATAGAAAACAGTTTATTAGGCCTATCACATAATCAGGCTAAAAAGAAATGTAAAAAATACTGATTATTCTTTATATCATATCTGAGGATAAATAAAAATGCTCATCCACCAGAAACAGAGTATACCTTTACATAATCAAAACATATTCCCCCAATTCTAAGTGAGACTTTAAAGGGAATGAACAAAACCCAAGATGTACAAGGCTTAAATGTAAGCAGAAGAAAACCAGCTTTATACGTTTACAGAAGTACTAATTTAAACAACATTGATATCGTAGGCAGTTATAGCTCACCAGAATAGGACCAATATTAAAATTTTCAGTCCATATTTGAAGAAGAAATGTTCCAAATGCATGCTTGGTACAAATAAATTCAGTGCAAAGCACTAGCTCTGATGAAATTTTGCTGGCACTTAGCTTGCCCTAAATTCCTGTTAAAACATAAAAGAATTTGTATATAAAATGTATGAATTCATAAACACACCCCATATCTACAGTCTGATCTACACTACAGACATATATTGGTATAATTGTGTCACTTGGGGGTATGGAAAATCCACAGCCATGAGTAAGGCAGTTATATCGACCTAATCCCTGTGTTGATGTGCTATGTCAATCGGAGAGCTTCTCCTGTTGACATAACTATCGCCTTTCATGGAGATGCATTAACTATGTCCATGGAAGAATTCTCACATCTTGGCATAGGAGTGTCTTCAAATGTCTACAGAGGCACAGTCGCATCAATGGAGCATTTTCAGTTTAGGCTTGCCCTTGGTATGTATATGCCTTAGCATGTTCTTGGAATTCACATGTTAGGTGATCTATTATGATATATTGAATCTTTCCTATAGTACAATTGGAGTTTAGAGATCAAGTTCAAGACTGCATGGCATAGCAGTAGTGCTGTGTAAACGTCATCTTGGCATTTCTCTAGACAGCTTTTTATTCCATATAAAAATAGCCCTATATTGCTCCTGTCATTAAAAACTAATAGTTCATGAAAAACAAAGAACAATTATTTGCCTGCTTTTGCAAAGCACATGCAATTTGCTGTTTATCATTATTGCTGTAAGGATGGAACATTTCTATTCAAATAGGACTTAAAGACCTCTGTTGACTGGTCTACCACTGTAATAGTCTAAGATACTGAAAGCGGAGAATGTCCAATGTTGCACCAAACCTAAACATACATGTCTTTCTAACTGCAAATAAATTAAACATGTGACAAGTTTAATTGTTTTTAGAAAGCAAATGCCAATAATTAATACAAATTTGTTATTATATATCCATAATAACATAAACGAATATCCATAAATGAATCCAGTAAGCTTCAACTGAACTATACTTTAACATAAATATATGTTAAATTAATTATTGCAATAAAGTTTGTGTCTCAACAACCACATTTGCCTTTATCTTTCTCCTCATTTAGCTGCTCAGTAGAGCTGTGTCCATTGGACCGTACTACCCCTTCGGGTATCCATGACTTGTCCACACACCGTTCCATGCGCTTCATGATAAGGTCAAGCAGAGTTTCAACTGCCTTGCTCACATTAGTTCCACTAGCTGCACTTGTTTCAAAATATGGTATTCTGTAAAGGATAAAAAAAACACCATCACAGACCAAGTGAGACCTTTCCTGGAACAAACACCATATGCATGAAAACATTATCCTTAGAGAATGCCAACAGAATTCAACAAAAGCTTACATTTAAATGCTCCTTTCCCTCCCTGGTAGTCCAGAGAACTCTCTCCCCCCCGACATGCCTACTTCTTATATATTTAGTGAACTTTCTGAAAGTTTGTTTAAACACTTGAAGCTGTGTTCCAGGCCTAAAGAAGGAATTATCCTTTTTTATAACCCATTAATCTTTTGACACAAGATGTAAATACAGAGGAAATAATATTCATTTGATTAAAATAAAGGAAATGCATTTAATAAAAAGGTAAAAAAAATACTTAGTTCTCTTATTATCTGAATCTGTTGCTGGGCAAAAATTCTCTGAGGGAACATACTTTTGAACCCTTTGTTATGAGTCACCTACAAATCTAGTAAAATTTGCAAGATGAATCCAATAAAGAGCCTGTATGTTAGTGAAATCCTAGATTTTCCAGGCTGAAATAAATCCTTGGGGAGAGAATGGCCCCAGGACAATAAAGAAAGAAAAAATAATTAAAAAACAAAAACAAAAAAGAAAGGTGACCTAATCATTTCTTTATATGTTGCTCTTGATGTTCTGATGATATGCTGAATACTGAAGGAGCTGACTGAGGAGATAGCTGAGCCATTAGCAATTATCTTTGAAGAGTCAAGCAAGTTGGGAAAGAGCTCAAAAGACTGGAAAAGGGCAAATACAATGCAAACTATAAAAAGGGAAACAAGGACAACCTGGGGAATTACAGACCAGTCAGTTTAACTTCTGTACTGGGAAAGATAATGGAGCAAATAATTAAGAAATCAATTTGCAAACATCTGGAAGATCATAAAGTGATAAGTAACAGTCAGCATAGATTTGTCAAAAACAAATCATGTTAAACCAAACTTGCAGCTTTCTTTGACAGGGTAACAAGCTTTGTGGAGAGGGGGAAGCAACAGAAATGGCATATTTTGATTTAGGTAAGGCTTCTGATATTGTCTCACCTGACCTTCTCGTAATCAAAGAGTAGTACAGTAAAGGATCTAGGAGTCATAGTGGACCACAAACTAAATATGACTCAACAATGTGATACTGTTAAAAAAAAGTGAACACTGTGACATGTATTAACAGGTAAATCATAAGCAAGCCAGCAGTAGTAATTCTTCCACTCTACTCTGTGCTGATTATTCCAGCTGCTTTTCTGGAAAAACTTGCCAGCTGTCTACACTGGCCGCTTGGAAGTCAGAGCTTTTGTGGAAATTCTACTGTAAGAAATCCTACTGTTCGGGCAAAAGTCCCTTTTGCGCAAAGCTTTTGCGCAAAAGGGCCAGTGTTGACCGCTCAGATTTGTTTTCCGCAAAAAAGCCCCGATCGCCATTTTCGCGATCGGGGCTTTTTTGCGGAAAACAAATCTGAGCGGTCAACACTGGCCCTTTTGCGCAAAAGCTTTGCACAAAAGGGACTTTTGCCCAAACAGTAGGATTTCTTACAGTAGAATTTCCACAAAAGCTCTGACTTCCAAGCGGCCAGTGTAGACAGCTGGCAAGTTTTTCCAGAAAAGCAGCTGATTTTCCGGAAAAACTGGCCAGTCTAGACACAGCCCTAGAGTATTGTGTCCAGTTCTGGGACCCACATTTCAACAAAGATGTGGACAAATTGGAGAAAACTGAAGCAAGAGCAACAAAAAAAGATTAAAGGATCTACAAAACATGATCCATTAGAGAAGATTGAAAGAACTGGGTTTGTTAAGTCTGGAAAAGAGAAGACAGAGGGGACATGATAATTTTTTTCAAATACACAAAAGGATGTTACTAGGAGGAGGGAGAAAAATTATTCTTGACCTCTGATGAGTGGACAAGAAACAATAAGTTTAAATTGCAGCAAGAGAGCTTCAGGTTGGACATTAGGAAAAACCTCTTGTTGGGGTGGTTAACTAATGGAATAAATTACCTAAAAGCTTGTGGAATCGCCAGATTTGTAAGATTAAACAACCACCTGTAAGGAAAAGCCTAGATACTGTTTAATCCTGCCATGAGTGCAGGGGACTAGACTAGAGAACTTCTCAAGGTCCCGTCCAGTCCTACAATTGTATAATTTCCCAGGTTAAAAGTCATTCTGTCATAAATGTACAACTCCATCTAGAGTTAGCATGTCACTCTGCAAGGGTACCTGCACTCAAGAGAACTAAGTAACAGCCTCAAAATTGTACACTGTATAGACACGTTTATTGATTAACCACAGACTGATAAATCTGAGGATTCCCTGAAAAATATCATCATCTTTTGGGACTGCATGTATGTCACACAACTGGCAAAGGAATGAGGTGGAGAAATTAAAAGAAGTCAATCCATTTCAAGAGCAGACAAGCAAGTTTCCACAGACATCAAACTCTTAAAGTACTTCTAAACTACACCTTCATGTTTTAATCCTGATGTAGATTAGTCACGTTGAAATTGCTAATGAAGCAGGGATTTAAATATCCCGTGCTTCATTAGCATAAACATGGCTGCCGCTTTTTTTCAAAATGGAGCTTTTTGGAAAAAAAAACCCAGCAGTCTAGACAGGGGACTGTGCAGAAAAAAAAACCTTTTTTTACAGATCCTGTAAACCTCATTTTTTGAGGAATACAGGATCTGTCGGAAAAGGGTTTATTTTTCGACAGATCCCTGTCTATACTGCTGGGTTTTTTTTTCCAAAAAGCTCCATTTTGAAAAAAAGCGGCAGCCATGTTTATGCTAATGAAGCACGGGATATTTAAATCCCTGCTTCATTAGCAATTTCAACGTGACTAATCTACATCTCTCTGTCGACAGAGAGGTGTAGTCTAGACACAGCCTTAATTTGCTGTCATCTCAAACTTTTTCATGCAGCCAATTCAAAGGGAAAATGTACCCTTTTAATTATTTGTAAGGTACTGCCATATTCCCAAGGGAAACTGTTCAGCACAGGTATGTGAAATTCTCAGCCTAAAGCAAATAGACAAACAATCATGAAAAATGTCAGGTGTTGCCTTACAGGAAGGGCAGGTAATTCTGTCATTTACATTTCAATTATGTAATGAATCACTGAGCCATTCTTATTACCAACAGAAGAATCCAACAATTCATGTCTAATACAGTAAGCATAACTGGCACCTTCATCCAAGTCCAGAGAGCTTAATGATTATTCTAGACAACATCACACCACCACTTCAACTCCCCTTCAAAAGCTGTAATACACAAAGCATTTTCTTTTCTCCCTTGATATGTTACTCCTTTCTACTGTATACCATGTTGATATAGCCATGTTAGTCCCAGGATATTAGAGTATGAAATAATATGTTTATTGCTCTTCTTCAGACTCTGTGTAAGCTTGAAAGCTTGTCTCTCTCACCAACAAAAGGTAATTCAATAAAATAAACTACCTCACCCAGCTTGTCTGTTTGCTTTCTAATTTGGCAGCTTCAACATGCCATAGAGGTGTGGTTGAACTTTAAAGCCAACTTACTTTTTTATAAATGTGCTGACAGAAATGCATAGGAGGAAAGAGTTGGATGACACTTCCATTTTGTGTCATTTAAATTCAGTTATTTCCTGCTTATATGAAATGAAATACAAAGCATATTATAAATTAAACACTATACACAAGACCAAAAGGAGATCGGAGGATACTATTCACTGAACAATTTAAAAACTATTAATTTATGGACATTTTTAACATACTACCTACAAAATTAATCTTAGCAGACTGAGTCTGTTTTTACTGGACAAGCTTGCTTTTTCTAAATCTGCTATATATTTTGAGAAAGTTTATTTGTTATGAGTAAACAAGGCTGTCTGTCCATCCATCTGTTTGTTCAGGAACTCTTCCTACACAGTAAGAGCTAGCACCACCAAATGTATTATGCAGCTTCCTCTTATCATAACTTAAAGAAAGGTAAGGGTTTGGTTGTGCCAGGACAATGGGATCTGCCTGGAATATGATTGTTTTTCATAATATGGAAAGAGAGAGTTGGAAAGGGAAAGCTGCTAGCAGGGATAGTTATACTGTGTAATGACCGCAGGGAACAGCAAGGGGCAAGAGATGGGACCAGGACAGCTATAACTGCATTGGGGCAGCAGGGGGCAGGCGTGGAGATAAGCTTCCTGCAGGCTCTTCAGCTAGCCTTCGGCCCTGAGCCCCTCCTCAGCCCCAACCGTGACTGCTGCACCTTCAGCCCTCTGCCAAGCCCCTCTCACACCACCCTTGACTCCTGCACTCCCCACATCTCCCAACTCCCTGCCCTAAGCCTTCCACAGCCCCAAGCTTCTGCCCTGACTCCTGCACCCCTCAGACTGGCAGCCCCTTGCTCTGAAGAACCCAAGCAACACCAAGTAAATCTTCTAGTACTTTTATATAAATAAACTGGACATTTATCAATGGAAATAAGGACAAGTGCATTTAGGTGCTAATTATTCACAGCAGAGGAAATGACAAGATGAAATGCAATTTCAGAAGCAAAGAATGTTTTTCCCAACAGCTATTTCCCAAGATGTCTTTTTAGATCTGGATCTGAAAAGAACATGTGGATCTCTATTCACAAACACTGTGGTTGGTGGTGATAAAAACTGCCTCTGTTCCCAGAAATGCCTTTTCTGATCAAACGGAAATAAACATAGGAATATTATGTGTGCACTAAGAGGTGGCTGAGAGTGAATCATGAGAGTGAACCAGCTATATAGTTCAAAGATATACTGAGAGGGGGATAGAAGAGGAGCTGGTCAAGCAAAGGATTTGGCCTACCAGATCACAGCACCTCTATTATGCAATATATTTTAAAACAAAATTGCAAAATCTGTCCTAGCCCTATAAAGCCCCTAATATAAGACATGTGTCTCCAAAGTAGCATGCTATCCCACAGGGCAAGGAGCAAGAGGAGCCTGAATAGTACACAAGTTTCTCCAATATCCACCCTTCTCTCTCCTATCCCCCTTTTGCAGAAAGTCAGCAGCTTCCTGCTGTTCCCGATGAAGTTTGAACACGGTCCGTCCTGGTTTACAAACTGTCTGCTCAATTGCATTCAGTTTTATGTAATCTAATTTGAATGAATGTGTTTATGAACAAACACAATACCATTTTTAAATGTAGATGAGGGCTGATCATAACTAGAGGAATTACGTTTCAAACTAGCACTCTCGCTCTTTCTCCCTTATTTTCCAAAAATGGATTTTAGCAGTAACTTAGGTGGCAGACTCAAGAAGCTGGAGAGAGGTTTATTTCATACATACACACTGCAAAGAGTAGGGTTGACTGTGTGTTAAATGTGAAAGTGTTTGGAGGAAATGCTGGATCCTTCTGTGGATGATTAAGGATGACTCAATAATTATCATGGAGCTGAAAGCAAATGGCAGAATTACCAGAGCTTCCTGTAAATACAGAAGTGTTTCTTCCTTTTCTTATACACATAAAGTTTTAAGCCACTACAGATCAAACCATTAGGGTAAAGTTTTATCAACACATTTCATAATAGAGGAAATCCTTTTAGTTATAAGAGATTTCAGAACCTCAAGGCATTCTGTCCATTGGGTCCACTACTGAGCAACCTACATGCTTCTGTCATTCTGCATATATCATCCAGGTGAAGAAATAGCTACAGTAGCTAAAGGTCAGGAATGCAGGTGTGGAGATTGCAAAAGGGAAATGCTTCAAATGACTTTTACCTGAATCCTTTAGTTGATACGATTATGATTCTGTTTATACAATTGAAGAGAAATGGGAAGCCTGAATTTCTGAGACACACAAAGGTAATTGGGCAATCATAGGGCAAAGAAACCTGTTGGATTAGTAGAGTGATAGCCTTATTGCTATTTATTTAGGCACAAATTTACACGGATAAATTTTGGGTGGGATTTTAAAAATCTCTCTTGTTCCCAATAGGTCACCACCATCTGTAAAATGCAAATAATTCTTGCTTGTTTTCTCTTAATTTGTGAGATTTAGTTAATGCTATGAAAATAATAAATGTTAAATTATAATTAAAATAAATATTTAATAATGGACTAATCAGTCTCTGAGGGCATGTCTACACAGCAGGGCTAAAGCCAAAATAAACTACGTAACTTGAGCTACGTCAATTGCATAGCTTACGTAGAAATTGCTTATTTCGGCTTTTGATGCTGTCTACATAAAAGGAAGTCCAAGTAAGAGCACTCTTCCACCAACTTCACTTACTGCTTGTAAAATGACGGTTACAAGAGTTGTAGTAAGAAGTCTTCTAGCTCAACATTATTTTGACATTATGTCGAAATAACTGCTTGCTGTGTAGACGTGGACTATGTTATTATGGAATAACATCAGTTATTCCAAAATAACACTGCTGTGTAGACACAGCCCTAGTGACTGTCTCCTCCACACCCATATTCTAAATTAGTGTTACTCAACCTTTTTTTTTTTTTTTTTTAAATAAAGTACCCCTTTTTCACACACAAAAAATTGTAAGTAACCCCAGAGCTAGGCACTCTCAGCCCCCAGCTCTACCTCAATGCCCTCCCCCTCCCCCAGAGCCAGGCCCCCCCAGCCCCCTCCACTCTAACCCAATGCCCCTCACCTCCCCCAAAGGCAGGCACTGCCTGCTCCCCCCTTCCCCTCCACTCTAACCCAATGCCCCATCTCTCCCCCAGAGACAGTCACTGGACATGTGGTAACTCTACCTTTGAAATGCCCACTCATGCCACCCAGCCCAGCCTCAGCAGCTTGTCTGCAGGGAGCAAGTAGTCCACCAGCACCGGGCTTGCCACATGGGGCTGTGCGCTCCCACCCCAGCCCGGCACCCTCCTAGTGTGGCACCCAGGGGCAACTGCCCCCCCACTCACTCCTCGCTACGCCACTGATGCTGCAGGGGGTGTCCTTGGTAGCAAAGGTTATTATGCCACTTCACCGCCTTTGAGCTTCTCTCCGCAGCACCATGGGGAAGGGGCGATGGGGATGCATTGTACTGAGCTGCTAGTGGGGGGGAGGGAGGAGGCAAGGGGGATGCGTGTCTCCAGGTTCAGCCACCCTCCCCACTGGAGCACCCCAAGGAGGCTGCTGGAGAGGAAATGAACTAGGAGGCGCGGCCGTGGAAGTGATTTTTTTTCTCCTCATGCAAACCCAACCCCCAACTTGGAATTGCCCTGGGTCTCACTGGAGCCTCCGCCGCAGCCACACACTTTTCCCGCCAGGCGCTGGGGCATGTGCACAAAGTGGCTGTTAACGTCTGGGCGCGCATCTCCAAACATTCAATTTGACAGGTACATGCCACCGCGCCCTCCTCGATCTCCTTTGCAGGGCAAAATCCTGGACATTTTTTGCCAAATTTCACTTTTGTTGACGTACCCCATAGACTTCTCTCACATAACCCTAAGGGTACGCATACCATTGGTTGAGAAACACTGTTCTAAATGAACCATTTACTGATTGTAGGCAGAAAGAAGATGTTCCATACTATGCAGAATGGTTAGCAGCAGTAGCTCAGTGAAGTAGGGTTGCTCCTCTTTCCTCATCCTATCTTTTGAAGATGTAGGAACATTTTTATTAATAGTTACCTTTTCTCATCCACTTACAAGTGCTGATACCCATACAGCAACTTACTGAGTGAAAAGCAATCTATGGATCAGCCTGCTAGATTGTTTCCCACATTGATCAACTTTTTATTTTGATGAGAAGATTAGCAGATATATTACCTTATGCAAGCAATAGAAATCTATGAAGTGCAAAAGATTTCAGATATAAAAAACACACATCTACTGCTTTGCATTTCCAACCGTTTCCATTTTTTTATGAAGGTGCATGTTACAAAACAGTGCTGGTTTGAGGTTAGTGCCCCACAAATAGAATTACATAAGCATTTAAGTTGGAGGAAGAAAAAGGAAGGAAGCATTATTGCACTAAACCCTATCTTGTTCTTTCTCTCCCTAACAACAGAGCTGACAATTTGTGAGGCTAATTTAAAAGAGTGCCCCTGCTTAGTACTGCCTTCAATTTCTTCCAGAATTTTATGTGATGCACAAATTGTGACTTTAAAATATTGATCAGTAAACTCTTGAGTTTCATTGCACAAGGAAATTAGTCCTCTGCAAATAGCCATGCTATACAAGATTAACCATGGTTTTGGTTTTCGATACAGTCCCACCTGATGTTCTCATAAACAAACTTGAAAAATACAGTATAAACGCATTGTTCAACAACTGGTTGAAAGACAACACTCAGAAAGAGTTAAGTTATCAATGGTTCACAGTCAAACTGGCAGAATGCATCCAGTGGGATCCCACAGGGATCTTTCTTGCATTCAGAACTATTCTATATTTTCGTTGATGACTCGTATGATGGAGAGGAAAGAATTGCAAAATTTCAAATGAAATTAAGATGAGCTATGTTGCAAAAACTATGAAGAACAGCATTAGGATTCAAAATAATCTTGATAAATCAGAGAATTACTAAAATCAATAGAATGAAATTCAAATCAAGACAAGTGCACAAAGCTGCACTTAAGAAACAATCAAATACACAATCACAAAATGGTAACTAACTGGCTAGGCAGCAGTACTGAAGGAAAGGACCTAGGGATTATTACAGAATACCTGAACTGGAAGGGACCTTGAGAGCTCATCGAGTCCAGTCCCCTACCATTCATTATAATGAATCACCCGTAAGGGAAAGTAGAAAAGAACTTTGAAGAGAGAGTTCCATTGAATATGAGTCATTGATGCTCTTATGAAATAGGCAAGTGTCATTCTGGGGTGTACTAACAGGAGTTAATTGTTCTGCTCTACTCAGCACTGGTAAGTCTTCAGCTTGGGCACTGCACTTTTAAGAAAGATGTGGATAAAACTGGAAGTGCAGAGGAGAGAACACAAATTAGACTTTAGAAAACATAGTAAGCAATTAGAAGAGGTTAAGGAACCATGAGGAAAGATTGAAAGAACTGCATGTTTAGAAAAGAGAAGGTTGAGAGGAGACATAAGAACATGTTAAATGCTATTGTTCTGAATAGGATAGTGATCAACTGTTCCTCATGTTCACTGAAAGTATGACAAAATTAACTGGCTTAGTATGCAGCGAGAGATTTAGATTAGATATTAAGAAACATTTTCAAACTCTAAGGATAATTAAGTATTGGAACAGGTTAGCTACAGATGTTGGAGGTTTTTAAGAACAGGTTAGACTATGCCTGTCAGGGTAAACTTAATCATAGGAGTCAGGGGAGGGAGAAGAAAGGATTAAATGATCTCTTCAAATCCCTTCCATCCCTTTGGCCATTTCTAGGATTCTATGATGTAATGTGCAGCTTTGTTCCTGATAAATGAAATGTATTTGTCATAAAATTATGGAGGGGTATTTACTTTGTTTTCTACTGCCAGGGCAGACAGGCACAAAGATACCTCTCCATGCTGGAATATTTCACAATAAGATGCATATCTTTGCCTACAGCATATGGCATTGCCTCTGTCAGAGATGGCAATCAGAAACATCCCTCAGGGTTCTAAGATGACCATTATGACAAGACCCTTCCAATACATAAAACAACATCACAGACCTTTCAAGAGAAACACATTTAATTTCACTTTAACCATCAGAAGATACTTGCCCATGTTTTTCTGCAAGTTCCTTTGCCTCCTCTTCTTTCACCATTCTCTGGTCTTCCAGATCACATTTGTTTCCACATAATATAATATCAGGGTTTTCACAATACGCATGCATTTGTAGTTGGCCTAACAGCAAAAAAAAAAAAAAAAAAAAAAAAAAAAAAAAAAAAAAAAAGGAAAGGGGGAGCTTATCTTATTCTGTTACATATAAAGTTCACTGAAAACATGAGTGCCTTTAAAAAACAAAATGGAGAACTAGGGGAAGTAATTCTTGGAGAGGAGAAAAATTAATTTGCTGTCAATTTCCTACTTGTTTTTCCCAATCTTTTATTTTATTTTATTTTATTTTATTTTATTAAACGCACTATAGATATTTGCACACCAGTGGGATTTTTACTGCTTATAAAGTTCATCTGGTGCTGCTGCTTACATTTACATGCTTATAAGACTCCCATTGCTAGAGCATTTGAGAGCTTAAAATCTTAACGTATTTACTTCCAACCCCTGGTGAAGTAAGGGGGGTTATCATACTTCATTTTACAGATGGGACACTCTAATACAGTGACATGCAAAGGTCATAAAGGGAGTCTGTGGCAGAGCAGGGAACTCAGTCCAGTATCTGGAGCACTAGTACACTACACTACACCATCCTTCTCTTCGCCCAAAGTCATTACTCTACTTTGGGAAAATCATCTCCACTACAACCAGTTCTGATGTCAGAGGGTTTTAGACATCTAGTGAAGGAAAACAAGCAGATTATCTCAAACAAAACTCCTACTCCTGTCCAAATATCCCTAACATTTAAAAAGCATAACAACAGATATACAAAAAAAATATATGGAATGAGCCAAATTCTTTCAACAGCAATTCCTGTGAAATCAAGGGTACAATGTTTGATGAGATATTCCATAACACTCTCAGGTTTTTGATTACTGAAGCAGCTGGTTGGAGCAGCTGGTCTGGAATCCACAAAGGGAGAGGCAATTCTTGATTTAGTCCTAAGTGGAGAGCAGGATCTGGTCCAAGGGCTAAATATGACTGAACTAATTGGAAATAGTGACCATAATGTAATAAAATGTAACATCCCTGTGGCGGAAAAAACACCACTGCAGCCCAATACTGTGGCATTTCATTTCAGCAAGGGGAACTACACAAAAATGAGGTTAGTTAAACAGAAAATGAAAGGTACAGCGACAAAAGTAAAATCCCTACAAGTTGCATGAAAACTTTTCAAAGACACCATAATAGAGGCCCAACTTAAATGTATACTCCAAATTAAAAAACACAGTAAGAGAACAGAAAAAGTGCCACTGTGGTTTAACAACCAAGTAAAAGAAGCAGAGAGATAAAAAGGCATCATTTTAAAAAAACGGAAGCTAAATCCTAGTGAAGGAAATAGAAAGGAGCAGGGCTCGACAAATACTACAATCTACTCGCCTATGGCGAGTAGATTGCAACCCGGAAGAGAGGGGTTCAGGCAATCTGCGCATGCAGTTCGGCGAGTCCTGGTTTGAGCATAAACTGTGTCAAATTAAGTGTAAAAATATAACAAGAGGAGCCAAAAAGGAGTCTGAAGAACAGCTAGCCAAACAAATAAAAAAGTAATAGCAAATTGTTTTTAAAGTACATCAGAAGCAGGAAGCCTGCTAAACAACAAGTAGGGGCCTTGGGTGATCGAGATGCCAAAGGGACACTTAACAGATTATAAGGTCACTGCGGATGAACTAAATTAATTCTTTGTTTCAGGATTCATGGCTGAGGATGTTAGGGAGATTCCCAAACCTGAGCCATTCTTTTTAGGTGACAAATCTGAGGAATTGTCCCAGATTGCGGTGTCAGAGGAGGTTTTGGAACAAATTGATAAACTTAACAGTAACAAGTCACTGGGACCAAGAGTTCTGAAAGAACTCAAATTTGAAATTGTGGAACTACAGGAAACCCCTGACTTCCGACTGCGTGAGTTACAACCCCCTACACTTACAACCATTTTTGTAGGTGTAGAAGAGGCCGAAAACTCCCGACTTACATCCTCAGCCCACTTTTCTGATGGCACACAGCACCTATCATGAACGAGGGTTCGAGTTACGATGTCCCCAACTTGCAATGCTTCCCCGGGCTCTGCCTGTATTAACTGTGGTTTATAACCTATCCTTTAAATCAGCTTCTGCACCTAATGCCTGGAAGATAGCTAATGTGACACCAATATTTAAAAAGGGCTTTAGAAGTGATCCTGGCAATTACAGACCGGAAAATCTAATGTCAGTACCAGGCAAACTAAAAAATTGTCAGTGACATAGACTAACATAATTTGTTGGGGAAATCATGCCTTACCAATCTACTAGAGTTCTTTGAGAGCGTCAACAAACATGTGGACAAAGGGGATCCAGTAGAAATAGTGTACTTAGATTTCCAGAAAGTCCTTGACAAGGTCCCTCACCAAAGGCTCTTAAGTAAAGTATGTTGTCATGGGATAAGAGGGAAGGTTCTCTCATGGATTGATAACTGGTTAAAAGACAGGAAACAAAGGGTAGGAATAAATGGTTAGTTTTCAGAATGGAGAGAGATAACTAGCGGTGTACCCCAAGGGTCTGTAGTAGGATCAATCCTATTCAACCTATTTATAAATGACCTGGGGAAAGATGTAAACAGTGAGCTGGCAAAATTTGCAGCTGATTCTAAACTGCTCAAGATGGTTAAGACCAAAGCAGACTGTGAAGAGCTTCCAAAAGATCTCACAAAACTAAGTGATTGGGCAACAAAATGGCAAATGAAATTTAATGTAAAGTAATGCACATTGGAAAAATTAATCCCAACTATGCATGCAATATGATGGGGACTAATTTACCTACAGCTACTCAAGAGAGCAATCTTGGAATCATTGGGGATAGTTCTCTGACGACAACCACTCAATGTGCAGCGGCAGTCAAAAAAGCAAACAATGTTAGGAATCATTAAAAAGGGATAGAGAATAAGACAGCGAACATCTTATTGCCTCTATATAAAACCATGGCACAGCCACATCTTGAATACTGCATACATATGTGGTCACCTCATCTCAAAAAATACATATTAACATTGGAAAAAGTTCAGAGAAGAGCAACAAAAATGATTAGGGGCTTGAAAAGGGTCCCATATGATGAGAGATTAAAAAGACTAGGACTTTTCAGCTTAGAAGAGAGGAGAGTAATAGGGAATAAGATAGAGGTCTATAAAATCATAACTGGTGTGGAAAACGTGAATAAGGAAAAGTTATTTACTTGTTCCCATAACATAAGAACTAGGGATCACTAAATGGAAGTAATAGGTAGCAGGTTTAAAAACAAAAGGAAGTTTTTCTTCACACAGTGCACGGACGGCCTGTGGAAATCCTTGCCAGAAGAGGTTGTGAAGACCAGAACTTTAATAGGGTTCAAAAAGGAACTAGATAAATTCATGGAGGTTAGGTTAATCAATAGTTATTAGCCAGGATGGGTAGGAATGGTATCCCTAGCCTCTGTCAGAGACTGAGACTGGATCACAGGAGAGGGATCACATGATGATTCCCTGTTCTGTCCACTCCCTCTGAGACATCTGGCATTGGCCACTGTCGAAAAACAGTTTACAGAATGGCCATCAGAGCACCTGTGCTTTTTCTGATAGGCTCTTTTTGCACAAGAAACTCCTGCGGAGCGTCCACACATGCCTTTTATGTGCTAGAGCTGTAGCGCAAAAAGGAGTTATTCCTCATGGGGAGAGGAATAACTCTGCCGGCAAAAGCCCTCTGTCCTGTCGATTTACTGTATTTTTTTGAGTGTGCAAAAACGTGCTTGAAGTGTGGACACTCTGCCGGTTTTTGCGCAAAAACAGCCATTTTTGTGCAAAAACCTTGTAGTGCAGACATAGCCAATGAACCCACCATCTAAGGCAGGTGTGCAGCTTGTGAGCTGGATTCGGCCTGCCAAACTTCCCAGATCCAGTCCACTGCCATCATCCCACATCCCACCTGGCAGGATCCCTGATGTCAGTGCCCCCACATGCTGCCCAGGGGGAGCCATGTGTTATGCCCTGGGGGGAGGCTCTACATGCTGTCCCATTGCCATACAATTTCAAACAATGAGAGCTGCCTGGGCTGTGCTTGTGACGCAGGTAGCATGCAAGACCTGCGCCTCAGGAGCTCGCAACCCTACGAGAATACACAGCCCTTGAAGTTGGCCACTTTGAGCAGAGTGGGGCATGGAAGGCAGGAAGGCTCACTAAGGGTCCTGCTGGGCTTCTGGCTGGGAGCTGCCTAGGTAAGTGCTGCCAGGCCAGAGCCTGCACCTGGCACCCCACCCCTCTCTCCCACTAACCTTCTGCTCCTCCTCCCACACCTCTGCCCCAGGTCAAAACCCAAACCCCTGAATCCTCACCTGAGATGTTAACCTTCTCCCCGACCCCTCCTCTAGGTCAAAATCTTCTCCTGCGCCCATAACCCATATCCCCTCCCAGACCTCACATCTCCTGCACCCCAATACCCTACCCAAGCTCTCGTCTGCACCCAACCTTAATACCACACCCTGCTCCTCCTCCTTTAATATCATGGAAGAGTGGAGCTCTTAACCACTTATCAATCTCTTGGAATGCCCCCCCCCCCATCAAAAATTGCCCACACCTGATCTAAGGTTTAAGGGACATCTGCCTCTGAGCTTTTCTAATGAACTGCTGGCAATGGGAAAGTGAATACAGGTTGGACCTCCCTGGTCCAGCACCATTCGGATCTAACTGGTCCCAAAGGAGAGAATTTGCCAGAGCAAGGGAGGTCTCCTGCCACTGGACCCCAAGCCCATTGCCTGCTGCTGGCAGACACCCTGCTTCTCCCTCCTCTACTCCCAACCTGCTGCCAGCTCCTTGGGCAGCACAGACGTCAGCTCCTACTATGGGGCTCTGGCCCTGGCTTCAGACCTGGCACTGTGCTCCTGGGGACTGCTGCAGGGCTCTGGCTCTGGCCCCACACTCCAGTGGGCTGCTGGGGAACTCCGATACCATACTGCCGTGGGGATCCAACTCCAACCCCATGCTCCTGGGGGCTGCTGCAGTGCCTCACCCCAGGAGCACGGGGTTTCCAGGAGACTCCCATCGCATCCTGCCACAGGGCTCGACTTCAGCCCGAAGCTCCCAGGGGCTGCTGCAGTGCTCCAGCCCCACGCTAATCCATGCTGCTGAAGGACTCTGGCTGGGCGCTGTGCTGCTGCAGGTTGCTGAAGGCTGCCATGCGGCTCTGGTCCTAATCTTGTGCTGCCCTAAGCTGGACTGCAGACCTTGTTTCCCTGCCCTAGCTAGCCCTCCCGTTTTTAGGCTCCCATGGTCCTGCGGACAACGGATGTTGCTGAACCAGAGAATGTCAGTTTTTGGACATACAACCTGTACTTCCTTCTGTTGCATTAACAGTTAGAAGTTTTTCATGTCTCTTGCATAGCAAACCCCAGAACAAGACTGACAGGTGTTGCATGGTGTTCATGACAAGTTCTCAATCAATATAATCAGGACCAAATTTCAAGTTGGCTGATTTTGGATTTCATTATTAAAATCACCCAATTTCACACTGCATTTCTAACATCAGGGGCAAGAAACCAGCCTGATTGAGATTCTTGAGTATAGCAGGTACATTGAGGCCAAGTTTACACTGCGGGATGTGAAGGTCGGCTTAAGGTATGCAACTCCAGCTATATAAATAACATAAATGGTATTCATATACCTTAAGCCAAGCTTGGCGCTGTCTCCACAGTGAGAGAACAATGGAAGAAATGCTCCAAATGACTTCCCTTACTCCTCAAAATAGTGAGGAGTACCAGTGCTCATGAGAACACCCTCAGAGTTTGATTTAGCAAATCTTTACTGGACCCACTAAATCCAACCCCAGAAGATGGATCACCAGAGTGTCAATCCTCTGGAAAGTGGAGACATGGCCTAATAAAGCCAAGGCTTCAGCTAAGGTTTAGAAACCTGATTCACTTACAGTTTTTACATTCAGGTTTCCATTTTGTTCCTTTCAAGAAAGCTTTAAGTCAAATATTTTTGATCTTATCTCCTCTGTGAAGTCCCACATTTCTAAATCACAGAATCATAGAGCTAGAAGAGACCTCAGGAGGTCATCAAGTCCAGCCCCCTGCCCAAGGCAGGACCAATATCCCAACTAAATCAACCCAGCTAGGGCTTTGTCAAGCCGAGACTTAAAAACCTCTAAGGATGGAGATTCCACCATCTCTCTAGGTAACCCATTCCAGTGCTTCACTACCCTTTTAGTGTAGCACAGGAAAAAAAGTGATGGGAAGTAAAGACATGACATACTTATCCAGTTTCTGACATTGAGGAAGCTTTGCTCATTTGTCAGATCGAAGAGGAGAAGAAAGCCCATGGCATCTCTGAAGAAAGCTGTTGTCAAACTCCGAAATCTAGAAATACAAAGCACAGCTGTAGCTCCCTTTTCATGAGGTATAGCTGATGAGTAAATTATTTTGAAAAATGATGCTATAAAATAGGCAGTGAGTGAGGTAACTTAAAATTTAATTATACTTGAACCATTACTAGTCACGTCTGATTTCTGCTGACAAACACCTGAACCTGAACCTGAACCAATTAAGGTACTATAGGCCTAATCCAAGTCCAGTGAAGTTAGTGGAAAGACTCCCATCAATTTTAGCAAACTTTGGCTCAAGTGTTACATTACACAGCACAGTTTGATCAATTTTAAAAAAGCATCTAATTCAAAGTGAAATTCAAATCACATTGAAATTAGTTATTGTCAAACTTTAAATACAGAGTATTTTAAAACACTCTCAAACAGGATACATGAAGGATATGCACAACTTTTTATTTATATATGAAGAGAAACTCCTTACTACATTCAGGACAAAAACTTGATTCCATGCCAGTTAGAATATTAAAGAATGATTCTACCTGACATTCACCTGATCTTTACAAAGGACAGGATGAAGCTTGTATCAAGACAATGCAGAGCTTGCCTGCCTAAGAATTTGGTAAAGACTGCAGGTATTGGCTTTGGAGATACACTGCTAGATATGAATTTGCCAGAATACTATAATATGTATATCATCCTCAATAGCTACTATTCAAACAAATTACAGCCACTTCTAGTTGGCTACAAGAGCTAATGAAGGCCTAAATAAAGTGCAGATAGTTATAACCTAGAAATACAAAGCACAAATATACACTGCAGCTCTCTGGCAGACCCTTCATTCTGACCTCATGTAAATGGCTTCCTCTGTGTCTTAATGTCTTCTAACAGGACTAACAAACAAAGGATAAATTAAGAAAATAGATTGCATAGCCAGATAGAGAAGAGAGGGATGCTTGTAAAATATATAGAAAAACAGAGAGGAAACACTGCACACACACACACACACACACACACACACACACACACACACACACACACACACACACACACACACACACACACAAAATTGTGATCTCATTGCTGTTAATGTCAGAATAAGGCCACATTTTGATTCATCTGGAGTCACTCATAATTGCAACAGACAACAGGAGAATTCATGCACTTGAATTAGATGAACAGTTTAGTGAGCATGCTCACACTGGCTTCATATAAAAGCCACACCTTTCCTGCCCTGCAGTGTCCCACAGTTGCAGATGTATCCTCTGTCCTCTGCCGCTGGTGCCATCTGGCCCATTGGATCTATACACCTAAAACAGACAATTTTCAAAAAATAGAAGTGTCAGCAATTCACTCTCAACAGCATAGCAAATAATTGGGGTTTAAATTGTAATACTGTAATTAGTCTTTATGCCAGGGGTGCCTTTTTTGGGTTGGGAGCCACTGACCCACAGAAAAACGAGTCAGGGGCCACATACAAATGAAAGGAAAAAAAAACAAAACAAAAAACCTTCAATGACATGGCCCCTGACTGATAAGCAGAAAGACAGACCCCACATTTCCCTCTCACACCAGAGGCTAGGGAGGCCCACCTAGTAGATTTTGTGTGCTCCAGCCTCATGGCGGGGTGTGATGGGGCAGGGGACTGGAGCATCAGTGCTCCCCTACACTGGAGAGACGCCCTGAGTCTTAGGGGCCGGATCCAGGCAAGCAGGGGTTCCCTACCCCTGCTTTATGCCAGTAACAATCCAATGCATTGTTGATCTAAGAATCAAAAGCTACTGACAGACACAACCTCTTTGCCTTATAAAGCTGAGTTATAGGTGCCCGCTTTGATTCTGTCCTCTAATAAAATATTTTAAGAAAGAAAAATTATCAAATGAGACAAGAGAACATGTTTCCAATAAACTACGGAGATCTAAAGAGAAGCTCAATGTGGCTATGATTATCATTGGGCGGGATTGATTATTTTTAGGTTTTTATTTTTTATTATTGTCGTTTCACTCTGTTCAAATTGAAGCAATAAAAAAGTACAATCATATAATTCAATACAACAATATATTTTTACCATTAACAGAACAATATCAGCAAACAAAATATGACCATAGAGATAATGACTTATGTTTAACAGTCACGAGGTTGCTAAGAAGAATCTAGTATAGGCCTTATAATATTATAGCTTACAAGGACAGGAAATGGATACTAATAATAAAAGCTCAGGAGCTTATATAGCATGTGAATATAAATAAAGACATCTGTGAAGTACGAAGAGAATGAAATAGAAATAGTGTTTCAAGGCACTGTCGAGGTGTCATCTCACTTTGAATTGTCCTCTCCTTTTTCTATTGGTATTACTGGATCCTAAGCTTAAGAAAGTTATAGATATACAGACAACATCATGGGTACAGAATTTTGTCATAGGATGATGGGACACAGCATCAGATAGACATATCAAAGCAAAACAATTAAGTTTATTTTCCAAGTGAGACATTTATTTTGAAAATTCAGTTTTGGTTACTCCATTGGAACAATCACTCACACATCAGTAGTAAGCCTACACAAGAACATTCTGCACCATGAAAGCTCCTTGGTATTCATGCATGTTTGAGATAGGGCAAATAAATCAGGTAAAAGTGACTGCTGAAAATCATCTGAAATCACTGCATGCTTACAAGACAGGTTTAGTTCCAATTTATTAATGTGCCAGTGCAGCAAGGAGCAATATTGCAGTGGTAAGGTAATCCATGTAATTCTCCATTGCCTCAAATAAAAAATAATGTTTGTGTCACATTTTAGATAATTCAGAAACCACCTTCTGGACTCTCTTAAGACATGGGAGAGTGGTTTTCCGGGTAACCAGGGCCCAGATCCAACTTCTAATGCCAGATTATTTTCTGTGCTGGATGCTCTGTTGGTACAGCAGCATTGTGGCACGAACTAATTATATTTACTGTCTACATCCTCACTTCAGATAACTTTTAGTTGTGAAAAGTTGTCAATGTTATAAAAACTGGCTTTAAAATATTCAACAGGGATCAGAGATTTTCTCTAAAAAGCGATTAAAAGGAAAAAATCATATACACAGCCATGCAAACTTTGTTACATTTAAAATTGCATCCTTGTTAAATAAAATGTATTACAGCAGCTTTCACTTTTCTTATTTTGCCCTCCAAAGCTTAATAATTGAGAAAATATAGGTAACTTCTTAGGAAACTTAGGAGTCCTACAAGCACTGCCCCTTTCATTTACAATGTATTATTCACTCTCTACTGTCCTATCCCCCTGTATTCCAAAATTAAAATTGCTATTTTTGTTTAATAGTTCTGCCACAGATCGGAAGGCCTTCCCACATGGAAAGTCCACTGATGTGACTAGCAGTTCAATTAACAGTGAATAGTCCAAATGCCATAGCATCATCCATTGCTATGAATACAGCTCACTGAATTTGGTTTATTAATTAACTGCTTCTGCAGGAGGAAGTAAAAAATAATTGTTTCTGTGGGGTCAAAAAAAAAAGCCCTTTTTGTTTTATTTGCAGTTTCTAGAGAGAAAAGAAGATACTTTGTGCTAGGGTTGCCAGATGGCTGAAACAAAAATACTGATCCTCCCCCCCCAAAAAAAAAACTACCGGG